TGATCAACATCAATGAGAAACAGCTCTGCTCCGATACGCCCGAGGACACGCGTCCCTGCGCCCCTAATGGCCACAATATCTTCAATACGAACGTGGTCTTCGATCGGCATGGCACGGTTGTCTCCAGGTATCGCAAGGTTCATCTCTATGGCGAGCCAAGGAACAGCACTTTCGTGCCGGAGTCAGTGAGCTTTGACACGGACTTCAACGTGACCTTCGGTCATTTCATTTGTTTCGATATCCTGTTCTACGCTCCAGCCCATGAGATGCGTCTGACGCAGGGCATTCGGGACTTTGTCTTTCCCACTATGTGGTTTTCTCAGCTACCTTTTCTCACGGGTGAGTACAATTTGTGCTAGCGTAGGCTGAGGTCAATGAGCATCTCTTGCATCCTCTCCCACAGCGGTTCAAGTTCAGCTGGGCTGGTCCTATGCGAATGACGTGAATCTTTTAGCTGCGGGCTCCAGTCACACGGAGTACGGCAGTACCGGAACAGGAATCTTCAATGGACGGAAGGGAACTATCACCAGCGTAATGAATCTGGATGAGGGCGAGCGCCGCATCTATGTGGCCCAGGTGCCCAAGTATCCCAGCTCGGCTGTCACATCGCAGCGACGTGTCGCGACTCAGAGACAGAAGCAGAGGCTTGGACAAAGTCTAGAGCAGAGGGCTCTAGCCCGAAGCAGCGCCGGCTTCAAGATGAAGCGAGACGATGCTCTGGAGCTGTACGAGAGCGTATGGCTGCAGCAGGAGCGGAACGTGACAAAGGACGTTTGCCATGGAAGCCTGTGCTGCCACTTCGAGCTGGAGTGGAGTCCAGTGCAGGCAGGAGAAAGTCCGAGTGGCTATCGAGTGGGCGCGTTCGATGGCTGGCGCAATGAGCAGGATGTGGATAACAACTATGTGCGCAACTGCGGCATCTTCGTCTGCAGCGGACCCAACATTGAGGATTGCGGCCTGCTGCTGAATGCAACAGCATCGAATCGCAACTTCAGCCGGTTGCTCATTGAGGCCAGCTATCCGAAGTCGCAGGAGTTTCTGCTGACGCCGAACAGTGTGAGGGACAATCTGCTGCCCCTCGAGCCATCGCAGTTCGAGTGGTCTGTCCAGGAGGAGGAGCAGAGGTGAGCCAGGAGTGGATCTGCTTACTCATATACTAAATGCTTCCTTCCTCTAGCCATCTGTTGAGTGTTCGCTTCGCACTGGCTGAAGCCGAGTCGCTGTCCAACCTATTGACATTCGCCATCTATGGGAATTACTACGATGACATTTGCACCTATGGCATTGACACTCCGGACAAGGATATTCAATGCGGCTATAAGCCCAAGGGCGATGGGGCAGCCGACTTGCGATTTTTTGGCAACTGGTTCCATATGCTTACCGTTGTGCTCCTTATAGTTAGCCTTAGTAGTTAGACGGATTTTTACTGTGGGGTAGACCTTTAGCAGGAGGACAAGGGTTCTCTATAAATCTATGAAAACTTATATATCGTAGGTAGGTCTAGCCTAATGTAGCAGAAACTCAACCACTGGGGGTAGTAAATAAAGACGTGAATTCGAACTTTGGGGATAGTCTCTGTAAAGCTCAATGAAATACATATAAATATTTACATTGTTCATATTTTTATTTGATGAACTGTATTGGGAAATTGGAAAATTAGCTGGCGGAAATTTCTGATACAGAGGTAGAAAGTCACTCAAGAACAGAG